TATATATATATATATATGAAAACTCTTATTTATTAACAAATCAATGCGGCCAGAACGGCCCGTTTCGATTCCGGAACGGTCGTTTTGGCGTCATTTTTCATGCTAAAAATTGATACTCAGAACGGCCCGTTCTCAAATTGGAACGAGTCGTTCTGATTTCGCATATTGCTCATAAAACTGATTTTTGGAACGAGCCGTTCTGCTTTTGCCTGGAAACGAAAACAGCCTACCATAATCAATTATGCAAGCACATAATCGATTATGCTGAGCCACATAATCGATTATGGGCTTGCATAATCGATTATGTCCCCAGCATAATCGATTATGTTTCGTTCCTTTGTTGTATGGCACATGCATGGGACAGGGGTATTATGGAATTTTCTCAAATCTTACGTGACTTTCATCTCTTTTCTTCGCAAAAATGTGAAGAAGCCCAATGCCCCTTCTCCCTCTTTTCTTCGCTTTTCTTTCCTCGTAAATCAGTAGAAACAAACGTGAAATTTTCTCACCTTTCATTCTTTGTGAACAGTAAATCAGCGGAAACAAACACTACCTTACTATTTTAATTTCCAAAACTGGTTTGCATATAGATACGTACGTTTATATGAAAACGTTCTTCATTATAAAAACTAGTAGTATTTTATTTTACAGATGCGTCTTTCTAATACATGATATTACTCAACTAATATATTTTACTCTTTTTTTTCTTTCTCTGACTAAAAAACTAAAAGTTTAAATAAATAGCATGTTTGCACATTATATTGATATTTGCATCCTCTTTTTCTCTCTCAAGGAGTCAACGTGCTTTTCCTCCACCCATCTTGATATCCTTGCCTTATATATATACACAAGATACACAATAAATTAAACACAGTATAAGCTAAGCATCATGGACTACCTTTCACTTCTTCTACTAATCACATTAGCATGGGTAAGCATTCATGTCCTAATCTCCATCTTCAAAACAATCAAATCCACCAAATACCCACCAGGGCCTTTCCCTTTTCCAATCATAGGAAACATCTTGGAGCTTGGAAATCAACCTCACCAAGCACTTGCCAAGCTTTCTCAAATTTATGGTCCTATTATGACTCTATATATATATATATACGGGATAGGTCGGGTATCATAGTACCTGTATCTGCACCCACGCTTGTACCATTAAATTTTGTAGGCCTATACCTATCCCGTACCCATGCCCATATAAACTTGTATTTATCCATCTTGCATGTGAATATTTTTGTGGGTGTCGTAGGGTTTTTGTCCATTTTGCCACCCCTAACAACTTTAAAAAAATTGTTATTAAACATGATTTTCATTTTGAAATTTTAAAAAAATATTTTAAAATTATAAATAGAGAAGTCGTGATTTTAAACACAATTTTTATGTTACATTTCATGTTGAAAAAACACAACTTACCCACTCTCCGATTTTTTTATTTATAAAAATAACCCATAAATAAAATTACACCATCAAAGTAAAAACACCCTTTTTCCTGTCAAATATAAAAAAATACTATTGTACACAAATTCATCGACATCGTTCACATGTCTATTCATGCATACTGTTTATTGGTACGGTTCACGTGCATTGTTCATCCAAGGTATTGTTCATCGATATATTTAAACCTTCATTACAGAGGAGGTTGATCGTCTCCAAACCCTCCCTGATCTCATGAGTAAGTCCTCCAGATCATGTGTCTTGATCTTAAGGGATAAGAGTTCCTTTAATATTTCTAGTTTTGTTTCTCAAAACATATGGATTCTTGATTATGGGGCAACATACCACATCACCTTGTCCTCTACACACTTTACAACATACACCAGAGTATCTCGCAAACAACCTATTAACATTGCTAATGGAAAATGTGTTTCTATTATTGGATTTGGAAGCATCTAACTCCAATGATCTCTATACCTACACAACGTTCTTCATGTCCCTAAATGAGCTAGTAATCTAATTTCTATACATAGGCTTACTTGAGGCTTAAATTGCTTAGTAACCTTTTTTATTCTCATTGTGTCTTTTGGGGCATTGCCTCAAGGAAGACGGTTTTAATTGCTAAAGAGTAGGGTGGGTTGTACTTCTTGCAACATAAGACAAATAACGGTATTGGAAAAGAGGAGATATATTCCAATCAATAGGAAACCTTATAAACTTGGACTGTTTCACAAATTTGGCTTCACCACAAGCATCTTGGACATCCTCCATTTGGTTTACTTAAATATCTATTTTCACATTTGTTTACAAAAGAGTTTGTCGAGTCTTTTAAGTGTAATATTTGTTAAGGTTTTTGCCCAATAATAAT